ATGGGATTCATCTCAATCAGACTTCTTATGCTAAGAACATTCATCATAGGGTTGGAATGACTTAATGCAAACCAATTACCAATCTTATGGCTCACTCCTCTCTACTTGCTTTTGAATCTAATCAACCATTCAATCATCCTACTCTTTATAAATAGTTAATTAGTTCTTGACAATACTTAACTATCACATGACCATATATTGCTTTTATTGTTAACACTCTAGCTCAACACTTTGATTAACCTCTCAACATCCAATATTTGAATATCAAAGGAATTCTTTGATATATTCAAGGAACCCTGGATATTAGATTGCCATTACAATCAGGATCTCTCACTCTTCACACATATGCTGATTCAAGTTGGGCTAGCAATTCAAGTGATAGAAGATTTATTACTGAGTATTTCTCATTCATTATTCTTCTTACTTGGTCTATCAAGAAGCAACCTATAGTGGTTCAATCTTCTACTGAAGTAGATTATCGAGCGTTTGTCCCAGCAACAATTGATGTTATATGATTGAAATGACTTCTTCAAGATTTCTCTATATCTATTGAGCAACCTACGGTTATTCATTGTGACAACATATCCTCCATGGAAATTGCACGTAATCCTATTTTTCATGCTCATATGAAGAACATTGAAATCAATTACCATTTTAATAGAGAAATTAACAGTCAAAGGAATTGGTTCTCACTAATATTCCTACGGATAAGAAAGAAGCAGATATATTCATCAAATATTTATCTACATCACAATTCCACATGCTTTGGGAAAAGCTAACTCTTTACAATCAAGTTGCTAGCATGAGGGGGGATAATAAATAATATAATATGAATTTTGTGTTAATCTCAATTAATTTATTTGGATGTTTAGTATTTTTTTAGTCTTATGTACTCCTTTATATGTTGGAGTGTGCGTTTGTACTTAGGTAAGATATTAAAGTATATTCTCTTTGCTTTACTTTTCCCTTTCCTGTTCTCTATTTTCATCTTCAAGATATCGTATCTTGATTGCTTTCAATGGGCACCTTCATGATATCATTTGTATTAGTAACGGTATTTTACTTAAGAAGTGTTCACTTTGAGAGAGAAAATCAGCTTAGTATTTGAAATGGTTTCTTAAGAGCTTCTCTCTTGAACTATGTCTTCCTCTAACATCATAAATTTGTGGGGCTCATGATGTTTACATAGATTCTTATGATGGGTCTTATAATTCCTATAAGTATATTGATCATTTTAAGACAATTAACATACATATATTATATGACTCAACTTTGTATTTTATTATACTTTATTATCGGCAAGTAAATCCAAGACTTTACCTATCTTGCCAAGCTTTTTGACAAGCAATTCCTTGCCAACAAAAAAATATTAAGAAATTTTATTATTTGAGATCCATAAGAGAGAGAGAGAGAGAGAATCTTAAGGAATCTTGTCAAAAATTTTATTTACAAGCACGGCAAATACTAAGAGTGGATTCTAATTGATTACAATGTATTTTGTATAGATCAATTTTTTGGATTTTTTGCATTTTCATTGATATGAGAAGTATTTTACTTTTAGTCTAATTTTGATTAATAGCGTAAAAGAACATATTACTATGAGTGAAGCTATCGGTCCACATAAAAATTACTTTGAATAACCCTTTAAAATTACAAAAAATATCAAAGAAGGTGTTGCGTATATAAATATTCCAACAAAAATGTAAAAGCAATAATTAATCATGGTCTTTCTCTTAGATCACCTTAGTAACAATCTAAATACAAACAACAAAAGTAGCGCACATTCCTAAATGCATTTCAATCCAAATTTTGATGACTATTTCAGATCAGGAGACTTTTACAGAGCATAATCTATTGTGGTCAAATATAATAACTCAAGAGCTTTATTATGATCTCCATTAAATTCATGGACATATCACTGAAAGAATAAAGTATCCATTCAGCTAAATTAAGAAATTAAATATGTTAACTTAATAAAATAGTTACTTTTATTTATTTGTTCAAAATTAATATATTTAGACTAGAGCATCAATCTTTCTAGGGGAGGCATCAACCTACAAAATTGTTGTTCCAATTGATAAATGATTGGTGACATTGAACGTTTGCTCTCAAGTTTTGTTTATTACTATAAATAACAAGAGTTAAAGAGATTCTCATGCAAATAGCTCCATTACTTTTATTAATTGTAACTTTAAGGCAATTCAAACCTTACATCAAGACACACTTATTGTCATTGTTATGATTAGTGATTTCTATTACAGTGTTAAGAGAATACTGACTAATGATGAAATTTTTATATGGTTTACTCTATTACTATTATTTTGCTTAGGTGTGGTATAGGAGAAGCTCTAGTCAACTGCAAGACCATTTTATAAGTTCGATATTAACCAATATGATGAGTGAGAACAACCACGCTCCCATCTAAACTCAGGAGTTTTTTTTTTTTCAAACCCATTCAAACCGAAATATATTATCGCTTTTATGCTACTCATGAAGATAAATTTTTAACTCTAAATAGGTAAAGCATGTAACAACTACTAGGTAGCATATTCATGCTACCTTAGACAGGTTTACCCATAGCCTTTATCATCTTGTGCATTCAAAATTTTGTCTGTCAAAATAAAGATACCATTCAGAAGGATAAAATATTGAGTCCGGAGTACGGTGTATCGCGTCCGTTGTCCGGATACAGCTTGCGTCGAACTCCAAAAGCGATATTTTTCTCTTTCAAAAGACTTTGCCTATCGAAGGAATCGGTCCATGTTCCATTATCATTTATTATGAATGCATGAATTGATTCTTTGTTCTATAAGCATGTGCATGAGATTAATTCAGAGAAATGTAGCATCAAAGTCAATTATTAAAAAAGAAAAATCTCCAGCTCATTAATAAGTAAATGAAAAAAATGGAAATTTACATACATAGCAACCAATTCTTATGCATTTACTTTTCTCACGCACGAATTCTATGTATGAAAAGCTGTATGATTGAAAGATATCCGCAGGGCGAACAAGTTGACATATTTACGCTATCTAGGCCGGCATAAAATTATTCCTGCGAATATGAGCTAAAATGAAAAAAAATCCATCAAAAGGCATTACAAGTATCTAATTCCTTCTTGTAATGTTACAAAATATTCCCCAAACTCTTGGAGATTACACTACAAGCTTTATTTACAACAGCTTTGTAAGCACTAGGGGTATAAACTAGTAGATCTTGAGCTGGCTAAGTATTTATTCGTATTTGACTCGTTCAACTTTTTTTTCTGTTCGAAGTCTGCTTGTGAATGACAAGCTCGATTCAAATTTATTTGTTGGATTGTGGTTGTGTTTAGCTAAAATTTAGCTCCAAATACTTTAAAAATCATATATATTAACATTCTTTTTAGATACGCCATAAATAATCAAGACATAAAGATTTTAAAGATAGTTTGTAATATTTCTACAAATAAAATTTACAATCATATGTTCAATTTTTTATTTTTTTATTTTTATCTATATTTTTTTTATTTCAAAAAATATATAAATCTAATTATTTATATATCTTTGAACTATATACATTTATATGTTATTTATATTAATTGAACGGTTTTTTCTATATGAGAGATATGGCCATGTTGAGCTACATTGCGCTCAAAGCGCATTAACGCCGTCTCATTAACGCCGTCTCCAACTTTCCCGTTAGCAACTTCGAAGTTTCTCAATCAGTACTCTTTTCTTCATTCCTTTGCAGTAAAATGACATTATTGATTGGGAGTATTATTTACTAACTTAAGATAATTATATACATTTATTTCTAAGATGATGTTGTTTGCATGTGATTGAAGTGATTTTTTTAAGGGCGTTTACATACAAACTCACCCCCAATGTCTATATGAAAATTAAGGTTCAAATGACTTTGATAGTCAAATGAATTGAGTCGAGTTCAGATCATACTTGAGCATGAGAAAAGGTCATCGTGGGAGATCTTTTTGAACACATAACAAAATAAATTTGATTTTGTATTTTAGTTTGGTTAAAAATATCTTTTTATAGGATCTTCTTTGTATATTTTCTAGGATCGAGCATGGTTGGAATTTCCATTAGACAGTTTCTCTTTGATTTATGTTATGAGGATTTTTCTATATAAATATTTTTGTAACTGCTCTTCTTATTTCTTCTTAGTTTTTATCCACATTCAATCTATCATTTTTTTCCTTTACCTTTTTAAGCATTGGTGACCTAGAAAGAGGGATTTGAAAAGGACAGATGTAATGAACCCCATTCAATCAGAAAAGAAAGGGTGCAAACAAAATTTGGCGACTCTTTTGGGGAATAGAGATTACCTTATGCTTGCTTTAATTTGACTCTAAATCTTAGTGATTCCTTTTCTATTTGATTTGATTTATATGCACCTGATTGGATTCGATCATTTGCCTCTTCTATGGCATAGTATCTAGGGTTAGCGGGCTATTGCCACCCTTATGTCTTTCATGCCCTCAATATTCTTGTTGTACACTTTGCACTACTTGGTAAGTGATGTCGGGCTGTTTTTTTTCTCACATTGATTGTACATCAATAACACTTGAATAATACACAATAACACCTGAATAATATGAGAGAAATATTCTCTGTGTTACCGGACCGTTTTTTTTCTCACTTTCACGTGTGTTCTTTGGACTCCACACGTAACTCTAGATATAATATTTTTTCCTAACAAACACCCCCTTCCTGTGTTATTTATATAAACCTCCTGTTCTTTGTGAAATATTATTCAGCCCGAACCCGAACCCGAACCCGAACCCGAACCCGAACCCGAACCCGAACCCGAACCCGAACCCGAACCCGAACCCGAACCCGAACCCGAACCCGAACCCGAACCCGAACCCGAACCCGAACCCGAACCCGAACCCGAACCCGAACCCGACCCGTCCCGCCGCTTTCTCTGCACCGCGTTTGAATTAGGTTTCTTCGTGTATATAAGGCGAACAACTGGTAAGTGATGCCCTAGGGTCTCGCTAACTCCCTCTGTTTGCAGTACGGCTACGCTTATCCTTCTTCCTTCTTTAATCTGATTGAGAACTTGGCCGGTGGGCTGATCTCATCCTATCTTTGTACCTGAAAGATAACCAAAGAAAAGCGTTTTTGCTGCTTTCAAGCGTCTCTCCTTTCTTTTTTCCAGTTGCCGATTTTTCTCTAGGGTATGATGTTTTCACTTTATGGTTTTGAACTTTTTTTTGTTATTCCCTGCTTAAAGATGCTATTTTTTTGGTGCAGAGATGTCGGACGATGAGACGAAGGAGGAGATAGAGTTGGATCTCTCCTCCTCTGATGTAGTCACCAAATACAAGAGCGCCGCCGAGATCGTTAACAGTAATTTTTTCACTCAATTTTTATTCAGGCTCATTTGCTTGCTTGCAGATGTCAATTATATTTTAAAAAAATGATGATTTCCTTTTCACTTATTTGAGCTTGAATTTAAATTAATTGTAAGAGAAAGCTGTTTAGGATTTTCGATGAGATTGAAATTAATGTTGGTGTCTAACTACATCAAAACAATTGAGGGATTTAACGAGTGTTTAAATATTCTTTTTTAATTTAAAGTTGACCAAATGTAACAGGGGCCCTTCAGTTGGTGGTCTCCAAGTGCAAGCCTAAGGCCAAGATAGTTGACATATGTGAAAAAGGAGATGCCTTTATAAGAGAGTGGGTGTTTATTAACTTGTTTTTTAGCAGTCTTGAAAAATTTGTTGACTTGAGTTTGTTGTGAGATTTTTATTTTAGAAGTTTAATACAGGCAAGCTGGGAGCATGTACAAGAATGTAAAGAAAAAAATTGAGAGGGGAGTTGCCTTCCCAACTTGCATTTCTGTGAACAATACCGTCTGTCATTTCTCACCCATGGGCAGTGACGAGACTGTTTTGGAGGAGAATGATGTTGTGAAGATGTAAGAAATGTAGAATAACTTTCTGTTATGTAGTTTTTTCAGTTTGGGCTTATGGTATAAAACTCATTGATTAGCTCCTATATTACATTTTTATTTTTGCAGTGATATGGGCTGCCACATAGATGGGTTCATTGCTGTTGTTGCACACACTCATGTGCTGCATGAAGGACCAGTAGGTGGGAGAGCAGCGGATGTTATTGCCGCTGCGAACACTGCTGCTGAGGTTGCCTTGAGGCTTGTGAGGCCAGGGAAGAAGGTACTATTATGCACTGAATTGTTGTCCATAAGTTATGAATTACTTTGAAATACTTTATTATGATCAAGTCTTCTTGAAGAACACCTTATGTACTGATTTTCTTTTTTCATGTTTAATGACTTAGTTTATTTGCGCTGTATGATTTTGAGAACTTTATGTTCTCTGGTACCGGGCTTTTAATGATTGTTGCCAAATTAGTTTCTAGTAGATCCTGATGTAGCCTTGTTGAGAAAATGTTAGCTGTGTGACTTCAGGATGGTATTGTTATTTTTTATCTGTTCTGTGGTAATTTCCAATTTGAGTCCGTGATAGTTCTGTATTTTTGAATTATGAAAAAAATGTTATTTTAGTGAATGAATTTTCCCCTAAAAATCTCAACTCAGAAAAGCCATTGATATCATTCGATGCCCTTTGTTTTCATTTTCTTGGGAAAGTTCATCAAAAGGCATACATAGTGCATGAAATGCCAAGGGTTTGATGCATGCAATCTTAACTTTGCATTTATCAAGAGATGATTTGGGTGGCTCGAACCTGGAAACTTCAATGATTTCTTTTCTTTCTAATTCTAAGTTTTGTTACTAGTGGATTACATGATGTAATCACCTAATATGTTTGCTTGTCATTTTATTCACTCTAAGTTAATATTTAGTTTCCTTCTAAATGATGTCCCAAATGATGATTTCTTTTTTCAAAGCTATGGATGTGTCCAGGTGAAGCTTTGTTGTCATAGTTACTCTGATGGGGCTTCATTTTTATTCTTTAAGATCATTTGGTTAGATTTATTTACATTGGTTTGATGTGGGGTTTCAGCATATCTTAGTTGTTTTCTTCATCAAATAGTTTTTTTATGGGTTTACAATTTGCTAGTGGAGGACGAGTTTTTTTTTTTAAAGCTATTGATGAATATGTATTTGATACTCAGTTTCATATTCTTTTAAGGATGATAATTTGGCCCTTTTTTTTTTGGCCTAAACTATTTAAAGATTCAATCACTTATTTTATCGATTTGAAGTTTTTGACTTTACATTTGTCATTATTTTTATTTATTCTTTATCAATATCTATCTACTTATTAATCTACTCTTGGCTTTCTTGCGTTAAGTAACTTTTAGCGTGTCTACTAATTTATTTATTTATTTATTGCTTTTGTCAGACCAATTTTTCTCATGGAGCTTTTATTTTTCTCTTCTAATTTAAAATGTAATGAAGTGCATAAAATTGTTTGTGTTACTTAAAATAGCTCTTTTTGTATTTTTTTTGCTTCTTGTCAAATGAAAGTTTGGAATGATGAAGGAACTTTAGGAATATAATGAAGCGTGAGATTATTTAACAAAAGGTTGTGTCTGTTATGTAGTTTTGGTGGTTGTGAAATTGTTAATTTTTCATTAATTTTGTTTGAAAATTTTTTGATTTAGGTTTATATCTTTAAGGGTCTGTTTGGGGCAGCTACAGCTTATCCAACTTCTGCTAATAAGCAATTTATCCTGATAATCTGCTGATGCGTAGCTGATCTGGATAATCTGTGAGCTAGCTGGCTGTTTGGTTTGTGCGTTTGGAAAACAACTGATTTGCAGCTGTTTCTGGATAAATGATCATTTATTCTGCCCTGTTGTGGATAAGCTGTTTAACTGTTCAATTTCTTACATGTCCATTACTCTCAATAGATACACAAGTTTCATAACAATAGGAAATTATCCTACTTCTTGCATGAACTAAGAAGCTTACTCAAGTATTTAAACAGAGCATGCAGTTCATGCCATATTCATCCTTTGGCATCAATATACACATCATTCAACAACTCTAAAGAAACGAAACAAAAATATATACATTAATGTAATTGATCTATATTAATCATGATCATTTAAATCCAACCTAGTGACAATGTACAACTATGTTATAATTTCTTATAATTCAAGATAATAATTAGAACATTCTCTTTAGCAAGATCAAATAGAACATGAACATGGTGCACATTGTGCATGGGAGCAATTATAAAAACTTCAAAAAAAGTTACATGACACCAATTACATTGGTAATACTACATAATTTGAAAGTTAACAAACAAAGAAGCCATTGACAAGTAAATTTAAAGGGATAAAATAAGAACTTTCTAATGTGTAGTCAAACAAGAAATGAAAAAGTCAGCAATAAACAAGGCAAACAAATAGAATAAAGCTGAAATGATTGAAAGAGAAAATGACAAACATCAGAACATAGAAGCACAAACAGTTTTCAAAGTGCTCAAAACCTTTATGTTACTCGAAGGACAAATGTAGGATACCACATATGGCTTGTGTAAATCAGATGAGGCAAGCAGTTAATGTAGCAGTGACAGAATGGAAGATTCATAGAGAAAAGAGCAAAGAAAACGAAGGTCTTCCAAATCCAGTACAAAGAAAGAAAGGTGGAGGGATTTTGACCTGATGAATGCGCGGAGTCAGGGGATCGAAGCAGATAGGGCAGTCGAGGACATCTGAATCAATGCTAAATCCAAATTGTTTAGTCGTATTATTACGTCTGTCCACTTTCGTCTCCTCCACCTCCTTGACATCCCCCACTTCGTCTCCGACCTCAACGGGCTCTTCCTCCTCCTGTTCTGAACTTTCCCCTTTGACCCAATCATATGCCCTCTTCTTCAAATCCTCTTTTTACTCGCAGTTGCCATTCCCCGATCTCGCCTTAAAACTCCCCACCGTCGGAGAGACTCCCCTCCAGCTAGAGCCTCCCTGCACCAGAGATCCCTGCGATCTCTTCCTCGTGCTTCGGCTCCGCTTTCGGCATGCCTAGGTCTACGACCAAATGGGGAAGAGGAGGGAGGAGAGGAATTTTCTTCCCTGCAGAGCAAATTTGGGTAGTGACGGAGGTGACAGAGGCAAGATCGGCTACGATCGGGTTTAGTGAGGGTAAGGGAGTAAAAGCTAGAGGGCGAACGCGGGTCCGCGTCTAATAGAAAATAGATAGGCGGCGTTTTGAAAACGCCGCCGCACTTATAAGCTGCCGCCGCCGCTGTGTTTGGACACCGCATTGTTCTTGGATTTTGTAGGGTTAGTTGTTCAAAATAATAGGATTTTTTATGTGAATACAACTTCAATGATTAATTATAGTATTTTAAATGGAGAAATGACAAGAAATTTTTTTAGGCACTTAAAAAGGCAATTTAATATAACACAATTAAAACAATAATGCTCTCAGGGTTTAAGGATTGGAGAAAATATTTTAATTAATAACTGAAATTTGTGTTGAAGAAAAATTAAGTTGGGTGATAAAATTAGGAAGTTGAATCAGAAATGCTTATATCAGAGAACGGTTGTACATATTTCCTCCAACCATACACTAATTTAGTTTATTTTGAGTGAGACTTCCTATTTATATTTTGGAAGAACTTCTAGAATCTATGAGCTTGTTAGTTATTATTCTTATGTTACAGTAGTTTTTTGGTGGATTCCCAATTTAATTTTTACCAGCTATCTTTTTTTGTGATTGGCATGCTGTAATTGATTGAACTTTGAATTCCAAACAATAGAATTACGGCAACTTTGCCGAGGAGACCATCTTCTAATTGGGCTCCTCTTTTCCCTGTTGCCTACATTCATGGCTTTGACAAAAACGGTATGGAGTTTTTTTATCCATCATTGTTGACACTATTCTTTGCCAACATTATTGATATGAAATACAGTTATTGTTCTTTTGTTGTTGTGACTAGATACATATGAAGGATTTTTTTTTTTTTCTCATTTTATGCATGGACATGACTTTTTTGTAGCATCATTTGGTTTTATGAACGAACTTTTTTTTTTATTTTATTGTTGTTTTTCTTCTTCAATTCTATGACGGACCTAAGTAACTGAATTTCTTTCAAGATTATATCTATATAATCTATGTTACTATTGTGTGTTTTGTGATAGGCTTACTTTGCCGAGGTGAACATTATTTACTCTGGCCTCCTCTTTTCCCTGTTGTCTACATTCCTGACCTTGTAGTTCTTTAGATATAGTATTGAGGCTATATTTTAACAATATTTGATAAAAGCATACCTTTTTTTTTATTTATAGAATTTGGTTACATATCAGCATATATTTAATTATTACCATTTAAATGAATTTTTCTGTTTATTTTGCTTCACTTTGTAGCAGAGCCTAAGTGATTCAGTTTTTTTCAAAATGTATATTTTCTTTGGATGCTAATACTTTTAATCATGCATTAGTGTTAAAGCAATGGTGTCTAAAAGGAAACTGATAAGAAAAAAGTTTATATGCCGGAATTTATGTGTAAGTGATTATATTTCGATAATTCTTTAGTATCAATAGAGATAACATTCATCATATCACATGAACTACTTGTTTTTTCTTTGTAAAGGTTTTTTCTTTTTTTTTCCATTTTATATTGCTGAAATATTTGATTTCCTTGTCCCAAACAGTTCATTTATGTTTTTGTTTCAAGAATGTAATTGATAGCTTTAAATAAAATTAACTCCATGGTCATCCTGATATTGCAGAACAAAGATGTTACAGAAGCCATTCAGAAAGTTGCAGCTGGATATGATTGCAAGGTTGTTGAAGGTGTTCTTAGTCATCAGCTGAAGCAGTTTGTGATTGATGGAAACAAAGTTATTTTGAGTGTTGGCAATCCTGAAACCAGAGTTGATGATGCAGAATTTGAGGAAAATGAAGTATATTCTGTAGATATAGTCATGAGTACTGGTGATGGCAAGGTATAAACTTTTTGTTATTATACTTTTATCCTGGGATAATATTGTAAATTGTATTTCATTGGCATCTTATGTCATTTCTTTCAGTGTGTTCTTATTCTGCTTAAAATTTATCGTGTAGCCGAAATTGTTGGATGAGAAGCAAACAACTATTTACAAGAGAGCTGTGGACAAGAATTATCATTTAAAGATGAAGGCATCGAGGTTCATATTTAGTGAAATAAGCCAGAAGTTTCCAATCATGCCATTTACTGCAAGGTTTGTTTTCCCATGTTATATAGTTTATGAGGGTTGTAATCTTTCTGAATTTTGACGTATCAAAGTAAATTTATTCCATTGTGAAGGGTTCTACAAATATGTTTATATGGAATGAAGGGTCATATACGTACATACCACCCAATTTTTTGTATTTACATATCCAACACCTAAATTTACTGTTTTACATTTATAACACCAGAATTTTTTATCACATCAGAAATACCACTAGTTTAACTTTTGAGAAGTGACACACATTTTCATGCATAGATAAGTTGGTATGTATGTAAAAATTGAAGTGTAGGTGTTAGATATGTAAATACATAGAAATTGTATGGTATGTATGTAAATCTTTTATAACATTATTTGCATTGTACTGTTCCTGTTTTTGTTCCTTTAGAAAGCAGCTTAAATAGCCAAGTTCATTTCTCTATCAGGGCATTGGAAGAGAAGAGGGCTCGGCTTGGTCTGGTAGAATGTGTGAACCATGATCTTTTGCAGCCATACCCTGTTCTCCATGAGAAGCCTGGTCAGTACCTTTGTTTTCTTAGGAAGATTTACATATATACCACTCAATTCTCACGTATTAAAGCATCTGACACATAAACTTCAATTTTTACATATATGCCCACCTTACATAAGCATGAAAAGGTGGTAAAAATGCAAAAACTAAAGTTTTGATATCGGATATGTAAATACATAAGAATTGGGTGGTTTATGTAAATGCACTTTGTTTTTAGTAAATACAAAATTTCTTTTCTAGCAACTTGAGGGATGTTGCATGCTTTTTGTGTGGCAGGTGACCTTGTTGCTCATATTAAGTTCACAGTTTTGTTGATGCCAAACGGTCCGGATAGGATCACCTCCCATACTTTGCAACAGCTACAACCTACAAAAGGTATTGATAATGATCCCGAAATCAAAGCCTGGTTAGCTTTGGGATTAAAGACCAAGAAGAAAGGCGGCGGAAAAAAGAAAAAAGGTACCCTTTTTTTGTTTTATTTTCTCCATTTTCTTCCATTCCAACCCTTTTTTACTTGTGCTTAATGTGATTTTGTGTTGGAAGATTTACATACACACCAATCACTTTTTATGTGTTTACATCTGAAACACCTGGATTTCAGTTTTTTATTTACATGTCTCACCTTACTTATGCATGAAAATGGGTATTTCACTTTTTAAAAGTTAAAATAATGCTATTTTTGATGTGATATGAAAGAATTGGATTGTATAAATGTAAATGCTGCTTTTGTGCTTGATTCTCTTTGAAGTTTAAAGGTTTTTTAATTCTTTCTGGATCAGCTTTCAAGCTCCTACTAAAATCTTAACCATATGCAATTCCTGTTATTGTCCAGGTAAAAAAAGTGAAAATTTGACTGAAGCTGAGCCCATGGAAGAAGAAACTGTGAATGGCGCTGCAGCTCAAGAATGAGAAAGCATCAGTTTTGACTACTTTGATTTACTCTGGTTTTCTCTCCAGCCCTCCTCCATTGTTTGTTCAATGTATTATATCTGTGGGAGATATTGTGCACAGAATTGCTTTGAGAAATTTGTTTATTTTTAATGGAAATATTGAGGGTAAAAAATGTGCTTATGGTATAATGAGGCTCTATTTTAGCTTTTGAGCTGAATATGTTCTCTTAGATTTGTTATGGAACATGATGAGATGGGTCAAATGCTTTTAGGTGTTTGCTTTATATTTTATTTTTGGGTAATGACAATTTATAAATAAGGGGAATTAGCATTTTGGTAGTAAAAAAAGGGAAATTTACACAACACTCAATTCTTTTGTATTTACATTCAACTCCTAAACTAGTTTTTTTTACCTGTATACAATCTTATACATGAAAATGTGTGTTTCACTTTCTGAAAGTTAAAATTGTGGTATTTTTAACGTGATATGAAAAATTTTGGCGGTATGAATGTAGAAAGTAAAGTTTAGGTGTAGATATGTAAATACATAAGAATGGGGTAGTATATTTATAAATGCCCCTACAAAAGATCATCTATTGTGTGCTCTTTGATCCTGCTAATATGTGGGGCAGTGTTTAGAAAATATGGCATGTTTGTGATGTTTAGGTGGTTTGGAAGTTTAGAAAATATGGCTCTTGTCTTGAAGTATGTGTCGTTTTAAAGTCGTGTTTAATTTTGAAAGAAATGTTTGAAATTGCTTTTAATATTTAATTTTTATTTTCTTGAAACTAATTATAGTATATTATGATTGATATTGTAAAAAAAAAATTTATTTTGATTTAAATTGTACAATATTTTTAAGTATTGTGTAATATATCAAGATTGCGGCTTCTCAATGAGAAGGGACTAATGGAGTAACAACAATTGTTTCTTAAGGTGGAGCAAAGCACTTCTTCATAATGGTGGGTATTTGTCTCAAGGGGTTTAGATTTATATCCTGAAAAATATGAATGGAGGTTTTGAAATGTTCAATGAAAAGAAGTGTTTTTCGAAACTTAAATTTGAAGGGTTGTGAACAAGCTGAGTACAAATAATAGTTTGGTGTAGACTCTTTCAATGACTTACATCCATATGAGAATTGAAAAATACCTGGCAATCACTAACTTCCCACAATAGAACATACCATTTGGAAGCATGAATAGGTGCTCTTTAGATAAAATTAGAAGCTATCAGATTATTGATTGGCAGCCTTTTTTTATGGTAGAAACTGCCACCACCATTTATTATCCCATCAATAGATGTCCATCCATGATGAGTGATACGAAGATATTAACTAAAGCATGGACAATAGTTTCATCAAGTTATAATTATGTAAGGACTTGAATGTACTGCAAATGTTTGCATGAAATGATGTTAATTGTAACTAGAGACATGCGGATGCATTTTCACTAATTATTTAGAGGGATGTAAAACACTTTAATCTTTGGTGTATTGAAGCTCATATGCCTATGTCATTACCAAATATAGATGGTTTTAATAAAAAAACAAAAATATAAGAATGTCAAAGCTAAAGAAGGCTTAGAACCTTTTGTCCATGCTACTAATATCAACATGAATAGGTTTATGATTGATTGGACCAACAAAATGAAATTAAATTTAATGACAATCATTTGACTTACGAAAAAAACTATAAGGTTGCTTAAGAGGTATGGACATGCTAACCTAATCTTTTTTGTCATAATAATTTTAGGTTAAATAAGAAAATAAACCATTGACATATGAGGTTGTTATAAGATTATGGTGAGAGAAGGCAAAATAAGAGAAATTAGATACTTTTTTGAAGATCCAAATTTATTGTTTGTTAGAAGTTAGAACCTAATAATAAAAATCTAGTTCGATAAAATTTGATGATGATAAATTTAAATAGGAATAATAAGAAGAATTTGATTCTTTTCTAAAATTCAAACCTAATGTATGTTAGAAACCTAATAATAAAAAAACTATTTAGGTTTAAGTTGTTGTTAAAGAGAAAAAGAAAAGATCCATACTTGCCAAAGTACATTAGGCTCGAGTGATCTACAATAAGATTATTTTATAAGATTAGGATATGGTCAACTCAACAACCCAAGATTGGGGCTAGATATACCTTAAAAATAAATCTCCTTAAAAGCATTGATGGGTGGAAGTTTCAATATCATTAAATGGCCTTCAAGCTTATATCCCATATCAAATATTTAAGTTAGAGTGATCCTTGAATAACTTTATTAAGGTTAGCATCTCTACATAGAATTTTAGTATATCCACATTTTACATAAACGAAAAATCTGGGTTGGCTTTAGCTCCTATAGTATAATTGAATTGAGAGGGAGTCTTTGACACTAGATTGTTTAGTAAGTGAAATATTAAATGTACTAGAAATAGTTTAATTTCCTGTGTTATTTTCTCAATGTGATTGAAATCAATTGATTTGTTTTTTTTATAACTAACGATGGGTTAGACGTTCTTGCTTAACATCGAATAAAACTTGGCGAGTTTATACAAGATTGAGTTTTTTTGATTTGGCACTTGATGGATTTGATGGCTTATAACCATGGATTTGCTAGCTTAATACTTACTTCAAGACTCAAGTCATAAGGTGTATCTGGTTGTATCATAAATAGATTTAAGGTTTAGATTTAGAGAATGTTAAAAAAAAGGATTATATTTGAGTGTTTCCTATGACATGATGAGAAGGCTTACTCACTATAATGGATCAAAGGGTGCTCATCTTGACCAGTTATAGGTGACTCGACTTATCATAGTTTACACAAGTGCACATGTTGTTCAAGTGATACAATGACTGAGCTCAAGTTCATTCCCATGAGGTTATGATCAAATCCTTACATTACTTCAATAATAGTTTTACTTAAAATCAAGTTTCATCTAATTAAAAAAAAGATATTTTTAGGGCTTTGTTTAAGAAATAAAAAAGAATCATTTTTGTAGATTTTTAATTAAAAAACTTATTTGAACTAGTGAACACCTTAGATGATTATACTCAATATTATGTTCTACTATATGTGATACCAAACAAAAAAACTTACACTCTAGTGCAGCGGTGCTCCATCAAATTAATTGTTTGGTGCATCAGTGCCAAATTTTCTATATAAAGGGTACATGACTTTTACTTTTTTGGAGTTTGAATTCTTGAATCCTCTAGCTTTGACTCTTTTCATCCTTTCATACTTAACTTGCTTGCAGGAGAAAGGGAGATGGCATGAAGCTCCAGGACTAAGGGGAGGAGAAGGAACATCATTCGATGCCCATAAATTCGTGAGTGCTTAAGCCCAATTTAGGCTAAAAGACTATCTCCTCCACCGTAAGTTCATATATGAGTGGTGTCTTTAAAATTCGGGAGGCACCAAAGAGCACTCCAATGTTGATAGAAAATGAGAATACTTTATGGAAGAGCCTGACTTCATCATATTTTCTATAGCTCTTAAGCTATTTGTGGTGGCCAATGAACACCAATTCCTCGAAGCATATGTGAGAAGAAAATGGGTTTCCGTCAATAGCAAATCAATCAATGCACAATGAAGGCGACCAAATACCTATGTTCTTGTTGGATTAGTAGGTTTTCAGACTACTCTGGATGGTCTTTTTTGGTGATATGCACATGTGACACATGGTAGGCTGATTATATGTGGGTTAAAGGCAATCAAGAACTCATTTCTTTACATGGTCAACTATCGTATTGTAGTGATAAATTCATTGGTTGCTGTGGTGAGTTCTCTGAGCCCTCATGCCTGCCTTTTTTTGTCTAGTAACTTTCACGAGTTTGGCTTCTTTCTTTTCTGTTTGAGTTTTATTTATTTATTTTTTGTAGGCTTGCGAGGTCGATGACTAGCCGTTTGACCTTTCTTGGTTCTTCGAATGGTCTGTCAGTTGCTGTTTGTTGGTGTCACATGTGAAATCCTAATGATGACAACCAAATTCCTCTTTTATTTTAAGTGATATGGTTTTTTAGGATCCTCAAAATGACTTTTTTTTGGGGATAGCATATGTGACACTCGCGAGGTTGGTTTTGCTTGGGTAAAAAGCAACCAAGAACCCAGTTTTTTACAATATCTATTGTCTTCTAGTAGTGAAAGATTCGTTGATTAGAGTATTGAGTTCTCTGAGCCCTCATGTCTGCATTTTTTTTTTGGGTTAATCTATGCTTGTATATTTAGTACAATTTCTGTTCATTCTCATTTTCTTGTATATATTTTTTTTAAATTCATGTGGGTCCTCACGTTTGCTAGTTTTTTAATTCACTTTTTTGTTTCTGTATTAAAGACTGTTATGGAAATCTATGCATCCTCTGTTTCTTTAATCAATTTTCATCTTATTTTTTTAATCAGAATTTTGTTTCTTTATTCAATACTATTTCTTATTTTCAATTTCCATGATTTTTTTATTTCATCTAATTTTATGACTGACGTATTCTCTCTTGAATAATTGTAGGAAGATGAGCTCCAGGTTTTCAGGGAACTCTGGGTAAGTGCTATGCCGATGCGGACTGTATTTTTTATTATTCACGTCACGTCAGTCACATAGTTACGAGCGACAGTTCTACAGGTGCTCGTGGTGGGCAAACGGACAAGAAGACTGTAAATTCTTCAGGTGGGCAAACACTCCGGTCAATTTTACGGTATCCCAACCATACAACGTTGCTCAGGGTTCGATGGTACCTCAATTGGAGAACGTTGCTCGGGGTTTGACAGTATCCAAATCAGACACTATTGCTTAGGGATCAACGGTGTCCCAACTGGACAATGTTGCTCGTGAAATGCTTCTTCTATATTTTAAAATGAATTTTATCATACTTTTAATTGTAATTTTAATATGTTATTTTTTTATTAGGTTTCTTGATACTCACTCTTAAGTGAGGTGTATATCCTTTTTTATACTGTTATAAAGTGATTTTTTTGTTCTCAACTGTCAAATGTGTAGCTGTTATAGTTTTGTTGCAAACAACAACATTGAGCAGTGTCAAAATGATCATTCATCCAAAAAAAATTTGCAAATTAACTGCTTTCCAAACGCACAAACCAAACAACTAAATAATTTATCCAAATTAGGGGCGTAATGGTCATTTATCCATAAACATATGCAATTATGTTGCTTTCTAAATGCACAAACCAAACATTCAGCTAAATTAACAGGATAAGTTGCGGATCAATAGCTTATCAAGATAAACTGCTTATCTGGATAAGTTGGATTAGCTGCAGCTGCCGCAAATAGA